GGCGCGCCTGGAGGGGCCTTTCCGGCGTCTCCCGACCCGAGCGCTGAACTCAGGCCCCGAAGCGCCCCTCTGCCGGCCTCGCAAGGTGCTGGGAGCAGAAGGCCCTGGCACTGGGCGCCTCGCCTCGGCTCCAGACCAGGCCTTCAGCCCTCGCTGAGCCACGGAGCCTCCCCACGAGGACTCCGTCACGCACAGGCGCTAGGGTTTGAGCTGCGTCTCGTCTCGCTGCGGCCACATGGCCTGGAGCCCACAGGCTTCACGGGCAACAACGCAGCTCTCAGGGCCAGAACTCACTCTCTACTCGACCTGCGCTGTCTCAGTTAATCCTCTGAGGTGGTTCTGTGGCACCACCCCCATCTCCTCTTAACATAGTTGAACATTGAAGAGATGCCCAGGGTCACACGGGGAGCCAGAATCCTCCTCCTGCGACTTGGGAGGGTGCCCACCCAGGTGGCCCCACTGGGCGGGGCCCGCTAACGGCCGATTCTCCCCTGGAGCGGAAGCAGCCCTGGGTCTAGCCCGGTTCTTAGATGCTTGTGGGAGAAGACAGGGAGGGAATCGGCTCTTGATCCTTTGGCCCAGGCTCGGGAGCTCCGGGCCTTGGGGCGGGCAGCAGCTGTGAGCTCCATCAGCAGGGTGCTGCAAGACCGTGCTCTCAGGTCCGAGGCTGGGGCTCATTTCCTCCCTCTTCCTCAGACCTGGCGTCGGTGCCCCTTCTGTGCGCCCTGGACTCTTCCCAACTGTGCCTCCTGGTCTTTACTGTGTGTTGAGCTGCCCGGTTCCGGGGCTCTCCTCCCCTTTGGACTGTGAGCTCCTTGGGGTAAGGACCATGTGTGGCCTCCATTGCTCAGCGCAGGGCCTGCACCAAGGTACAAGTTCAATGACTGAAACGCTACCAGTTCAAACTAGAGGGCTGGCTGGTGTGCAGACTGAGCGGCAGAGGGCGCCAGAGCCACATTCCCCAGGAAATAGGGGTCCTTTGCCCTGAACTGCCCAGAAGTCAAGGAGCCGGAGGGAGCCAGGTCCCTGCCCTGTCACGATTCCGCAGCATCTTGGCAGCTCTTTTACACTGATGTGATTCCTGACTCATTGCACAAGCTAGTACTTAAGCTTAAAATCATTTAGGCCTGGTTGCAGTTCAAATTTCAGCTCTGCTACTTCAGTGAGTGATCACAGGCAGGCTGTTTCACCCATGTGTCTCATTCCCTTCCCTGTAAGTGGAGATGGTAACATATCGTATAAGTGATGATTAAATAAGACCGACACAGAAAACACGGCCTGACATATCGCTGCCACTCAAAAGATGGTCACTGTTGTCATCGGTCTCATTCCTCTGCTAGTTTGGATGGTTCAAAGGAGAAACAGTCGGGATTGCCTATTTCTGTGGCCCAGCCTCCACTGCCAAGTCAGAGATCACTAAGCTTGGAGTGTCAAGCCAATTCCAGAATGGTGTGACAAATCACTAATCTTTCTAGTCCTGTTTCTCATCAGAAAATGAGATCACAATCATAATTCTTTTGCCCTCCTAACTTACCAGGAATGCCTGAGTGCAATGCCTTCCAGGCTATCAGAGAAAATCAAATGAGAGACTGGATCGGAAGGATTTTGCAAATAACCCCAAATACCCATAAAGTTCGCTGCAAGAAAACGCCCTCTCTTTTAAACTGTATATGCAAATAGAAACATCCTCATTATTTGAAAGCAATATTCTGTACAGAGTAGGTACTTAGTATATCCGTGTTATTCAGTAAGCATGGACAGTGAACCTGCAACTAAAGCCTCTGTGCGAGTGTGTTGAGAGTTGGCAGAGTTGGGGGGAGTGGTGGCATTCTAAAAAGTGAATGTCATGCCCGGCCAGCATGGCTCAGTGGTTGATCGTCAACCTATGAACCAGGAGGTCAAGGTTCGATTCCTGGTCATGGCACATTCCCGGGCTGTGGACTTGATCCCCAGTGTGGGGTGTGCAGGAGGCAGCCCATCAATGATTCTCTCTCATCATTGATGTTTCTATCTCTCTCTCCCTCTCCCTCTCTGAAAGAAATCAATAAAAATATATAATAAATAAATAAAAATAAACAGTAAATGTCATGGAACCTGTTTTTTGGAGCCACCAGCTTGGCTGGGAGGATAAGCTGGATAAAATAACAATGGTGAGGGATGGGCTTGGAGCTGGCACATTTCAGATCAAGAGAGTACACACAGCCCAAGCAAAACCCAGAGGTCAGATGACTATGACGGACCTCGCCCTAGATTTGGGCCCACCTGGGAGGTTCTGAGACCGCAGACAAGCTTCCAGTTATGGTGCCAAAGGGGTGAGGGGTAGTGGCAGTGGGTGTGGAAAAGGGCAGGAAGGCAAGTGAGGGTGCACCGGGCACGGGCCTCCCCCGGCAGCAGCCCACTTACCTCACTCCGGGTGAGCAGCGGCGGGACGCTGCAGATGGGCCTCAGGGCCAGGTGCAGGTACTCCATCACCGTGGCTGTGGGGAGAGAGGCCGCTGACCAGGATGCCTGGCTCTGTGCGAGCTCCAGGGGCCCTTGGGGACGTATCAGTTATTTGCTTTGCTAGGGGGGGTCTTCACTTTGCAAAAATGTTCTGTCGGTGGATTCCTTTAAATCAGCACTTCACAGCACATGCTGGGGTGCCTTGTTTGGCTGAGAAATGTCACAATTAAGTTGTTATCACATTTTAAGGACGGACCGAGCAGATTCCAAGTTACCTCCTAGTAATGTCTGCCTCATCACTTCTATTCCAATACTAGAGGCCCAGTGCATGAAATTCATGCACGGAGAGGGTCCCTAGTGGCTCCTGGCTGCCAGCTGGGACTGCCCCCTGGTTGAACTCCTGGTCGAGGGGACAATTTGCATATTAGGCTTTTATTATATAGGATGCTCTCTTGAGTAGGAGAGGAAGAAGCTGGGGTAGTGGCTCTTCCTGGGTTGCACTCTGGACCACTTCAAAAAAAGCTGATGCTTCCTCTGCCCCTTGGTTCCCACTGTTGCCGATGTCATTGTTCTGGGTGTGGCGGAGGCATTTTTATATTTTAAAAGCTCCCAGGTGACTCCAATGTGCAGCCAGGGCTAAGAACCTTTAGGTTACAGTTAGCTCCCCCTGTAGCCCCGTAAAACTGCTGGAACCCTAATCTTCCCTCAGCTGGGGCCAAGGAGTGTCAATCACCGTGGCGATGCGTACTGAGCAGCCATCCTGCGTGTGTGCCCTGGTGGACAATGTTGTACAAACCCCTGCTTTAAAAGGCAAGCACCCCAGGCTCAGTCCCCGGTGTGGGGAGTGCAGCAGGAAGCCAGTCAATGGTTCTCTCTCCTCACTGATGTTTCTCTCTCTCTCTCCCTCTCCTTTCCTCTCTGAAATCAGTAAAAATATATATTGTTTAGAAAGGCAAGCATCCCAGTGGGTTTAAAATACAAGTCCCGTGGAGGCTCCCGGAGCACAGCCCTCTGTGACGTGAGGGCCCTGTCCCCGGGCTAAACACGGCCTGCCTCACACCTGCTCTGCACGCGCTGGAGGCGGCTGGCAGGCGGGGGCTGGGATGTGAGTAGAGACTGACCTTCAGGGTGAGGAGGAGAGTCTAGGGTCAAAGTGGGACCTCACATGTCCCAAAGCACCCTGACTCCGGATGACCTTGGGGGCTGGAGAGCCCAGGGCCCTCTCCCCCTGAGTGCAGTCTTCCAGCGCAGCCCAGGTGTGAATCCCTCTTCTCGCGGTGGCACCGTGGGCAGGTCACTAACCTATCAGAGCCTCAGTTGCCTCACCTCTACAATGGGCCCACACTACCCACCTGGCAAGTGGCACAAGGTTTAAACACGGCCAGGACTAGGGTGAGGGGAGGGACGTGCGGGGCTGGGCCAGGGCAGATCAGGCTTGGAGCACTGGCCCTGAGTGAGGGTCTCCTTAAATTCTGTGCCCTCGGTGACTCTCTGGCCTCCACTAGTCCTGGCTCTGGGACTGCATGTCCACCCGGCACATGGAGGACTTCTAATACATGCTTTTGCTTACCTGTCAGGTAAACCCAGGAGGTAGGTACCTGGATCCAGGGCTGGCTGTACCCCAGCTTCTCAAACTGCAAGAAAACAGCCTGAGATGAAAACAGTCCTCCAGGGGCTCGTGTGGAACAGCCACACGCCTCCTTTCCCCTGGGGCCCACAGAGGTACCCTGGCCCCGGGCCCACCCCACCGCCAGCCCAGGCCGGTGCCAGTGAAATCCACACCCTGACCTGGAAAACTCAAGCAGGAACTGAATGCGTGGGGTGGAGGGTCACTTGGGATCATCCACATCATTTTGTTTTTATTTACGTCTGCCTACACCCAAGGCACTTGCGCAGAATCTGATTTTCCTAAAATAGCTATTGCAGGGGGCGTGGGGGGGAATGACACCAGATGTGTGGAGGGTTTAGAAGAGGAAGCAGACTGGGAGGGACTATGGCCAACAGGGCAACACAGGCCCCCAAAAGGACAGCTACCACCCAGCTCCAGGCAGTGCCAGTGTTACCCAATGGACACTGTTTCCAGACTGGTTTTGCAGATGAAATGTGATGTTTTAGAAGGAGGGAAAGATGACGGGGAGAGCGGAGGTGGGGGTGGGCATCTGGGCACCTACCAGCGGAGCCATCCACTCAAACAGGTTGACGCTCTCCCCGTCATTGATGTAGTAGGCTTGCCCGCTCTGCCAGGGACACCAGAAAAGGGCACAGTCAGGCACCTGCCTCCTCCACCTTCAGACGGCTCCCGGCAGCCACCCTGGGCCCAGACCTGGGCAATTCCCTTTCAATTCTGGAGCTGACCAGCTGTGTGACCCAATGGAGTCACTTAACCTCAATTTCTTTGTGTGTTTTTTCTCAGTTTCTCCATCTGAGAAACAGAAGGATAGAAATGGGAGCTCCTGGACTGCTATAAAGATGGAAAGTGTATGTCAAATGCCTGGCATTTGGTGACGGTGCTTCTGGCATCAACACCAGCTACCTCACAGGGTCACTGCTAGGAGCTAATCCTGCTCCGTGGCGCCCCCTACCCGGCCCGCCCCAGCTTCTCCGGGCTGACAGTCCTCGCCCACGCCCTCTTGGGTTGGGGAGAAAGGCTGTATGTGAGCCAGGACTCCCCGCGGGGTGGGGCCCAGCTGCAGCCCGCGGGGAGGTGGGAGCGTCACGGGGACTCACGGCCACGTAGCCCTTGGCCGCAGTGAGGGCCTCGGCCGCCAGCACGTGCGCCTGCACCAGGTTGTGCACGTGGACCCAGTTCATTCTGGTCCTGCGGTCCCCGAATCGGAACATGAACAGCCTCTTCTTGATGTGGCTCTGGGGGCGGAGGAGAGGGGCGATCAACACGGGCCCCAGCCTGCGTGCCTTTACATTTCACCTCTGTGCTGATGGGCCCCACATTTCTAGCTCCAGGCGGGAGCCCTCTGCCCCAACCCCAGGTTCCATCAATAGTCCCCGCGAACTCGAACTCGCCGGTCCTGGAGCTGATGCCTGGTCTTTGCTCTCTCTCAGCCCCGCTGGGAGGGAGGGGGCGGCCTTGCTCTCCCTTCTCTCATACCCCACATCCAGCTCACCTGCAAGTCCCGTTGGCTACACTGTGAGAATCCGTCCAGAACCCACCGCTTCCCACCACCCTGCCTGCCCCCTCTCTCACCTGGATCCCGAAACAGCCCCCCTACGGCCCTCTGCTGCGTCCCCACAGGCCAGGGGACCCTTTCAAACCCAGGCAGAGGGCATGTCTCCCTGCGCAGAACCTCCTGGGCGCCCATCTTGCAGGTGAAAGCCTCAGTCCTGACAACAGCCCTTCTGATCTGGCTGCAGCTTCTCTGTGAGGACAAGCCCCTCGCCTGCGTCTCCCAGCCCCGGCCTCCTCCCTGGAACATGCTGGCGGGTCCCACCTCAGGGCTCAGACTTGCTGCTCCCGCTGCCTGACGGGCTCTTCCTCCAGATCCCTGTGCGACGCGCTCTCCTACCCCCTTAAACTGCTGCTCAGATGTCCCTGCTGCATGACGCTCCCGACTGCCAGCCCTCCTGGCTCCTTCAGCCTTTAACACCTTTCCTGCTCTGCAGAGAACCTGGTCATTCGTCATGCTTACCCTCTACCTCCTTGTATGAGAACGTGAGCCCCACGAGGGCAGGGATTGTCTGTTTTGCTCACTGATCTGTCCCCAAGCCTAGAACACCTATCTTTCTCATGTCCAGGTTGTGCCCTCGCTGTCTCCTCTGTTTGGACAACCTTCTCTCTACCACCCATTTCCTTGGTTAGTTCCTTCCTCTCCTTCCAAACAGCTCAGGCATCGCTTCCTCCAGGAAGTCCTCCTGGACTTCCCTCTCTGCCGAAGCTCTCATCTTCTTGTTCTTGTTCTTCCTCCCTCCATAGAGCCCTCACCACACTGAGTCTGTGACCTGCACGTGTCTCCTGCCCAGGCTTTGAGAAATCTGAGGACAAAAGCCCCCTTTACCAGCTTTCTCTGGAGAGAGGGGTTTTTTGCATGAAGACTCTGGTGCTGGTGGCATGAGATGAGCCACCTGCCCCCATGGAGCCCAGGTCTGAGTGGGGACAACAGGCTCCCTCTGTCTCTTTGGAGCCATAGCTCCGTGTCTGCCCACCCATGTCTAGACCTGGCTGGCATACACTGAGAGCTGCGCCTGGCGGGCCTGAGGGGGCCCGGGCACCTCCCGGAGCTGAGGGCCCCACACTAGGAACACTGCCCCAAGCCTGCTGCAGGGACCGTGGGCTGGGAGCACCCCCATCCATGAGAACTTGAGCCAGGTTCCTCCTGGGCCTCAGGTCCAAGGCGGGAACGACATACCGCCACACGGGGCAGGTGCCTCTGCTCTTCAGGGCCGTAGATCCCTGGGGGCCGGAGTACACAGGTCCGGAGAGTGCCTCCTCCTAGGACACGGGGAGGGCAGTCAGAGGGAGGCGGTCCAGAAGAGAGGGGGACAGATGGCTGCCCACGTCTTCTGGTCCTTACTGGGCAGGTTAGCAGGGAAAACAGGTCCTTGGGGTTTCCTCATTCAGTTAGTATTCCCTCAGTCAATCAGTTAGTCATTCAACAAACACGGTTCAGAGGTTTTCTCCTTGTCCCCTGCCCCCTGCCTCCTGCACTGGGCCTTGGGTTGGACGCTGTGGAGAACCTAAGGGTGACCAAGAATGCTTCCCGCCCTCATGATGCTCACAGGCCAGTGACAGTAAGACCTGGATGCAGGTGTGTGCACTGCCCTTGACAGACATGATTCCTTCCACTTCCTCCTGTGCTCATGTGCAGGTGCACACAGACCCACACTCCCTCATGCCAACAGCTGCAGTTCTTTCCTTTTCCTGATCATCAGTTAGATAAGGACTATGATGCCCTCAGGGAGGTCCTACTATGTGCCTGGCACTCTGGTAAGCTGCAATTTTTCTCCCTCAAGGCAGCCCTCTGAGCCCAGGTTCAGACAAGGGATGTGATTTGCCTAAGGGCACACAGCTCAGCTTTGTGGAGCTGAGATGGAGATCCAAGCCCAGGCTCTCTCCACTAACCCCCCTGCCTCTCGGTGACACAGAAATAACAAGTAGACCCTGTCTCCAGCTTTGTCAGCCTCGGTCTCCTCACCTGGAAAATGGGTGCTTTGTAGGTGGTGGTAGAAGATATACTCTCTAGGCCAGTGGTCGCAAACTGCAGCTTGAGAGCCACATGTGGCTCTTTGGCCCGTTGAGTGTGGCCACAAAGTTTCAATCACACTGTACATAAGCGCCCGCACGTGGTATTTTGTGGAAGAGCCACACTCAAGGGGCCGCAGTTTGCCGACCACTGGTCTAAACCAGCAATGAAGAAAGGACAAGACGGGCGCCGTCGGCACATGAGCCTGCCCCCTAACTCTCCCAGCTCTGTGCCAGCAGGGCCCCCAGACCAAGACAGAGCTCGGTCCAGGGCCTCCCAAATTCTCTACCAGGGCCCCCCTTGTGGGGTGGTGAGTGTGTCTCCTGTGGGGTGTAGCCTGAAGGGTTGCCACAAATATATCCTTTCAAGTTTTAGGAAAGCCTACAAAATTTTCAGTTTATTCTCATACTCCATTCGTGTTTTAAATTTAAATTTTTAAAAATTATTTTTTTGTAAATTATTTGACACTCAACTGCAACTCCTTAACGGAGATGACGTCTCCTGGACGATGTTCTACTTGGGGAACCCAAGCGGCTGCTCCCCAGTTTGGAAAGCCCAGGGTAGACCAGCTCTGGGGCCAAAGCTCACCTCCTTTTGCGGACCTCCTCTCCCTGCGTGAGGCCTGGGAGGACTGGCAGCCTAGATGTGCCTCTGGCCCCTGAGGTGGTGGCCGTGGGACCTAACCTGGGCCAATGACGTGTGCTCACCAGGAAAGTGACTCCAGGACCTACACTCTGAGGGGGAGGGTTACCCAAGAGACTGATCATCAGCTCCTGCCCCTCGGGCCCCCAGGGCTGCCCCAACCCTGTCCTGTCCAAGCCCTGGTGGCCATTTTTCTAGAAATTTCTGTCCAACGTCCTTCCAGTGTTAAGTCCCCTTCATCCGGTCAATTAGCCAGGACCAGCGTCTGCAGGTCCCAGCCAAATAACTTGACTGCTTTCCAGATCAACACCCTCACCTGACAATGAGGCCAGGGTAGCGGATTAGGTGGTAGCTCTGAAGACATATGTGCACATCCCAGAATCTGCGCATGCGGCCTTATGTGGGAAAAGGGTCTTTGCTTATGCAATCGAGGACCTCACAACGAGGCCATCCTGGATCACTTGGGTGGGCCCAAAGCCCACTGCCAAGTGTCCTTATAAGAGATCAGGAGAGTCAGGTGGAGAAGAGGCCACGTGGAGACAGAGGCAGAGACGGGCATGATGCACCCACATAGCCAGGAGCGAGTGGAAGAGCAAGGAAGGACTCTCCTAGAGCCTTCGGAGGGAGCGAGGCCCAGCGCCTCCCGGAGAACGGTGAGAGCAGACATTTCAGCTGCTCTAAGCCACGGGGTGTGTGGCAATGTGTCCTGGCGGCCCCAGAGGCAGAGAACGCAGCCACGGCACACTGAGCCGTGGTCTGCACACCTCAGGGCTTTGCCTCAGGGACAGGGCCCTCCATGCCAGGTCAGAGGGGCCAGCCTGGGTAGCAAAGACTGGAAGTCACCCAGAGTGGCGGTGGCTGGGCTCCGGAAGGCAGGTATCAGGTGAGCTTTTCTGTAACAGCCTGTGGCTAATTTTAAACTCTGGGTCACCTGGGCGTAGAGGGGGAGGGTCGGGTTGCAGTGACATTGGCCGGCAGGGCACTGGGCAGCCACATCACAGACGCCTGGGCCCAGGGTATCCATGACTCTCTTGACCATGGAAAGTTGGGGATGCTCATATAAATAATTCTTGGCCTGAGGATTAGGTGTCTGGCTTCTAGGCGGCTGGTCCTGTGCGTGTGCGTGTGCGTGTGCGTGTGCGTGTGTGTGTGTGTGTGTGTGTGTGTGGCGGGGGTGGGGGGGTGGCAAGTAGAGAAGAGAATTCAACTGTACAGGGTGAAACCTCTGGAAAACACAGCTGGAAGTTCCTGATAGGCCCAGGGTGATGGGGTGGGGAGGGTTTTAAATTTTTTTAATCCTCACCCAAAGATATGTTTATTATTTTTATATTTTAGAGAGAGAGGAAGGAAGGGAAAGAGAGAGGGAGAGAGAAACATCGGTCAGCTGCCTCCCATATGCCCCCTGACAGGGATCAAACCCACAACCTAGGTATGTGCTCTGACCAGGAATCAAACCTGCAACCTTACGGGATGACGCTCCAACTAACTGGGCATCTGGCCGGGGTGGTGGGGAGGATTTTAGGGGAAAGAGCTCATTCTCAGAGACCGGCTCAGCTGTGGCTACAGTGCAGGATGGTGGTGAGGCCCCGGACTCTGGTGTCAGACCCCTGCGGTGGGGGAAAGGTTCAAACCCCGTATCTGCCACCGAAGACCGTGTGACCTGAGCTAAGTCAGTTAACCTCTCAGCCTCCGTTTCCTCCCCTATAAATTTCAGGGCTTTATAACTGCAAGCATCCTTGCTTTCCAAATCCAACCAAGCCTTCAACCCGGGCATGTGCCCTGACCGGGAATCGAACTGTGACCTCCTAGTTCATAGGTCAACGCTCAACCACTGAGCCACGAGAGCTGGGTGGTAACTGAGCTTTCTGATTTAAGTTTCTAAATTTTGGAAAGCAAATAGGGATAATTTGGATAGTAAGGAATTTATATAAATCGACTCGGTTCCTGAGTTTGGAAAGCAAGAGCAACGTCAGGGTCTTGCCTCATGGATGCTGTGAAAAGTTATCAAAAATCCTGCTTATGAGAGATCAACCAAAGGACTTTTATGCATGCATATAAGCGCAGAAGTTGGGGGGAGGTGGGGAGTTAATGGGGGGGGATGAGGACACATTTGTAATACCTTAACCAATAAAGAAATTTAAAAAAATCCTGCCTATGAAATTGGCATGTACAATAGGCCTGACGTGCTGTGAGCACTTCCTAAATAGACTGTCCAATCTGCCCTTCGATAGCGCCCGTCATTATTTGCCCTCAGACCAGCTCTGCGAGGTAGACTCCACCATCATCACATGTCTTTACAGACAAGGACACTGCTGCACAGAGAGGGTACATGCTTGCCAAGGCCACGCAGCTAGAGGTGGTGGAGCTGGGCTCTGAACGCGGTCAGTCTGATGACACTGCGTAGCCACTGGCCACTGCGCGCACGGCCACCTGCCTGCGGTCTGTCACTCCCCTGCAGCCTGAAAAGGCGCTGGCTGCCAGGGGGCAGGAGCCCGTGTTCCTGGGAGCGATCTCGGTAACTCGCACAGCCCTTCCAAAGCGCCACACCCGCTCCGGCCTCAGAACTGCTACGCTTTTCTCTAAGGCGGGTCCTTAAACAGGATCCGCTCCCATCTGGTCTCTTCCCCATCTGACCATGAGCAGCCTGAGGACAGACTGGGCTCTATCCCTGGTGGGGGTGGGGACACAGCAGGTGCCCAGACACGTTGAATGACGAGTGACCGAGGCCCTGGGGGTGTCCTTTCGGGGGAAAGGGCCTCAGAAACGCGTCAGCTAAACGCTAGAACCACACGTATGTTGGGGGCAGGGCGGCACGGGGAGGCACATTTGCCGTGAGCAGGGCCCACGATACTGACCTGGGAGAGGCGTGCCGTTGGCCGTGAGGGTCAACTGGTCGGCGATGGCTTTGGTCCGGGAGTAGTGGTCCATGTGCTGCCGGAGGAGGGTGCTGCTCAGTGACGTCGCTGGCTGGGCCTGCACAGCCCGCCCGGGCTGCACGTTGGCTTCAGACCCCTCGACGGTTGGGTTCTGGGGACTCTCGTGGGGAATGGCCAAGCCCTGAGCCCCGCCGCCCCTCTGCCCTCTGGTGGAAGCCACAGGGGCAGTTCAGGGGAGAGGGGCCGACGTCACACAGCCAAGGGCTCCTGGACTCAGGGAGGCTCCCGCAGCGCAAGGGGCTCCGGGACACGGAGGCGGGACGCGCCCCGTGCATGTTCACGTGGAGCCCCGCAGGGTTCGCGCGGCGTTTCTGCACACGCCAGCTCCTGCCTGCTGCCCACAGCCTCACGGGTGCGTCATGCCCAGAAGAAAGAGGCTCAGAATAAAGTGCCCGGCTCAGGTCGGACAGGGGGGAAGAGGCTGGCTGGCTCCAGGCCAGGTCTGTCTAGTGTCAAAGTCCCCGTCCATGACCAGCTCAGAGAGAAGAGGGCTTGTACACTCTTCAGAAGGAGGGTGTTGGGGCCCCTTCTTCTGGGACTCGCCCCGAATTGGGGATTGGCTCTGGCTCCGCCCTCCCCTTCCTGGTGGGTGGTGGGTCCCGGCTCGTGGACCCGGCCACCCCTGCAGGCAGGTACCTTCTCCAGCGGGAAGTACGGCACTGAGTCCTCATCGCCCTGCTCGATGGGCTTCCCGCCGAAAGCGACGTTGACGGTGCTGGTGTAGACGAGCCTTGGAACTCGCCGGCGGACACAAACTACAGGACAGGTGCACAGAGTCACACACACACACACCCTCCTTCCCTCACTCGGATGAGGCTAGTCCCTGCTCTGCGGGCCCCTGGATGCCAGGCCAGCTCACTCCTCCTCCTCCGTGTGCTGTGGCTCCCAGCTCCCTTGCCAAGCACAGGTCAGAGGAAAGTCTCACTCAATGGGGACACAGAGGAAACACACTCTAGAGTCAGAGAGAGAAGTGAGGTGCAGGACGTGCCCAGAGCCCGGAGGAGGGTCTCCTATTTTGGTTCCTCAGTGACTTTTCTCACTCCCGTCCCCTCACCCCGTGTGCAGACTCTCCCCACGCCCCAGACACGCTGACCACCCCAATGACCACCCCGTGCAGGGGCTTGGGCAGGACATGCTGACCGCCCGGGCAGGGGCTTGGGCAGGTCTGCCACAGGCAGGAGGTGTGCCACAGGCCCCCCGCTGGGCGAGCGAGGTAGGGAGGAGGGTCCAGCTCTATTCCCTCCCCCGCCCCCAGAGCTGGGCCTGTGGCAGGAGGGGAGAGAAGGCGGAAACACACGCAGGCCACACTGGGCTCTGAGCGCCTACCATCGATCACCAGTTTGGTGCCACCGACATTTATAGACTCAATCTGCTCTTTTTGAAGCTAAAAGACAAGATGAGGTGGGAAAGTTGGGGAGTTGCCTCTGCCTTGTGGCTGAGCCCGTGAAGGTGGGGGCTGCAGAACTCCAGCTCAGAGGAGGGCTCCCAAGGGGCACAGGGAGAGCGAGCTCCGGGGCCCAGCTCGGCCACCATCTCCCTGGGGGAGGCTCTGTCTCGGGGCTGGCCCTCAGCCCCTCATCTGTAAGGTGAGGGCAGCCCCCGTGCGTGCTCCGCAGCATGAAACCAGCCCCATGGGGGGAATGGTTCAGCGCTTACACAGAGGAGGGACTCAAAGCGTGTTGGATTGCTTCCTCGCTCTGGAAGTCTCTCCTTCTCCGTCTGACGGACAGCGACACTGTCCGTGCCCTGGCGAGGGGCTGGGGTGACGCCTAGAAGAAGCTGGTCTGCAGTGAGACCTGCCGTGAGCCAGGGCCAGGCGAAGCCTTGCACGCCACTCAGTCCCCGCAGCCATGCAGGGAGGTGGCTTGCACCGACCGAAACTGTTTGTTCTCGCTGCAGCTGTCTTTGTTTACCAGGTAATTCAATCAGAAGGGTACAGCCATTCAAACAGTGGAGGGTTTGCGGTGAAAGGAAAGGAACTTCCCTGTCAGTCCTGATTCCATCTCCCTGCCCCCAGAGGCAACCGCCGTCTCCAGTCACGTGTATTTCTAGAAACAATCTGTGCTTATTAACATCGGCACACAGATGTGTGAGTATATAAACATTGACCTGAGCCCTAGCCAATTTGGCTCAGTGGATAGAGCGTCGGCCTGCGTACTGAAGGGTCCTGGGTTTGATTGCGGGCAAGGGCACATGCCTGGGTTGCAGGCTCAATCCCCAGTAGGGGGTGTGCAGGAGGCAGCCAATCAATGACTCTCTCTCATCATTGATGTTTCTATCTCTCTCTCCCTTCCTCTCTGAAATCAATAGAAATATTTTCATAAATAAATAAATACATAAATATTGACCCGAGCTTTTTTTTTTTTTGAACAAACAGGAGGATATCAAGCGCTATTTCTGCACCTTAGAAAATTTTCAGTATAACACATTTTGAGTTACCTAATTCTTTTGAACTTCATTGTGTGAATACATCACCATTTTTTATAAACAGTCTCCCACTGATGAGCATTTAGCTTATTTCCTTGTTGTGTTATCAAAACAGCGCTGCAAATAAGTACAACATCTGAGTATGAGGATGTGCTGACAGATGCTGCTGACGTAGGTACTGGCAATGTCAGCACTTCACAGGTGAAGAAGGGGGCTCAGGGAGGGGTGTCAACCTGCCATGTCACAGGGCTAAAGTGGCAGAACTGGCTCTCGGTCCCATGGATGAAAGACGCAGCTGGGTGTAGCCCAGACCCTCCCGGTGCAGCCGAAGAGCACTAATGAGCACACGGCTGAGGGGCAGGCGGGCAGAGCTCCCGGTAACTCCAGGGACCGCATGCAAGGGCCTCACCTTCTCGGCACCAGACATTCCGTGGGAGGCCACGTGGAAGACACAGTCCACCCCTTCGAAGGCACGGAGCAGGGCTTCCTCATCTCGGACGTCAGCCTGAAACGGAAGGAAGAAGTGGGGTAGGGGTTTGAGTCCAAGGCAGAGGTACCAGCTGTGCACCTTGCCCGGTCCCAGAGCTGGCCCGACCCCAGCCAGGCCGAGCACCTGTAGGGCCCGAGGGCTGTGGGGCAGGATTTACACGACTTCATAGGAGGTCGTCACCAGCATCAGCCCACTCATCCAGCTGTCACAGCGGCTGTGCCCGGGCACTGCCTCACCAAGCCCCCACGAGAGCCTGTGGAGCAGAGCCTGCAGGGCCCCTTCCTATGGATGAGGACATGAGGCTCAGCGATGCAGAGCCTGTGGCCACGGCTGTCCAGCTGGGAAGCCCCGGGTAGAGCTGGAGCTTGAACAGCCTGGACTCTCCTTCAACATCATGTTACTGGTTTTGCCTCAGATATTGTCTTCAGACCTCCACCCCCAGCCTGGACTGCCCACACCTCCCCACCCCCACCCCCTGAGACCCTCATCCCTGCACCTGGATGAACTCAGTCCCTGGGACCAGCTCCCACTGGGGTCTGCGGAGGTCAAGCAGGATGACAGAAGTGCCACTCTTGGCCAGGCTGGAGCCGAGGCTAAAGCCCAGGTAGCCTCCTCCTCCAGTCACCAGAACCTTCTGTCTCGGGGCCTGCACAGGTGTGGATTGAGTCTTCTGCTGCAATGCTGGTGACGGGGCTGTTGTGGGCTCACTGGGTTTGGGACCAGTCCCAGACTCACGTCTGATATCAGGCCCTACCCCAGGCCAAGGTACTGACCCAGCTCCTGGCCCAGGCCCCAGACCTGAAGCAGCACCAGGTCCCGGCCCAGGTCCCGAGGCAGCACCAGGTCCCGGCCCAGGTCCTGAGGCAGCACCAGGTCCTGAAGCAGCACCAGATCCTGAGGCAGCACCAGGTCCTGGAGCAGCACCAGATCCTGAGGCAGCACCAGGTCC